TACATATTTTAGACCATCCAATATGCACTTATTCTCTCAAGTACAGAAACCTGATAGCAAAAGGCCATTTATTCTGCTGACTTCCCCGAAGCATGGACATGCGAAAGGTATTCCCAGTGAATTAACACTTCCTGTTGACCATTTTCAACCTTGAAATCTGGTAGAACTTGAGGAGTAGGAATCTGAAGCCCATGACACAGAATATTTAGATTAGAAGGGCAAGATCATGTTTATGGAACTTCTTCAACCAAGAGATATGGAACAAAGCATGAATTTTAGAATCTGTTGGTTGGTGTATGTGGATGGGACAAAGACATAAAGTGTGCATATTCAGAGAAGCAATCAGCAAAACGTGTAAGACTTTTTATCTTGTGAAGGAAGAAGGCTTTCTAAAATTCATGGAAGACGTCAAATCAAATCTAGTGTGGTATAAGAGGTTACAAAAATCCAGCATGCTGAGGTGTTCCACTGTATTGCGCTAAACAACTTAACAGGTCTGACAGAAATCTTAAACTTCTTGTTTCATACATTCCCAATGAGAATTAGAGTTTTCAACCTTCTGCTACCCTTCATGAGATTGATCATAAATAGCCAATAATAAGACAAATTACAAGGGTGAGACACCTAGTTCTTGTATAAAATTAACCATCATGAGAAGTCTAAATATCAGTTCTTCACTCACTAAAATTTCCTGATATAGCTGCCCTAGGACAATTGAAGTAGTGATCTCTCTCCTTGAATATCTTCAGAAAAGTCCAACAGATGCATGGAGGTAGCAGCACAAAGATGACAATGCTCTTTGACCTCTTCCTCCTCAAATGATCTAGATTTATTAGATAATGGTTTTTCTGATCATTACTAGCTCTTTTGATCTCTTCCCCTCAAATGGTCTCTGCAACAACTAACTTTTCTTTCTTTTAGTGGACACGACTATAAGCCCTCATTAGATGGGTGATTACTAGAGGTTTCTATAGAAGTTAATTACTATATAACAAATGGGTCTTGAATGATTCTATCATCTTGGTAGGAAGATAATCTTATCTCCCCTTATTTTCCACTTTTCTCTCTTAAAAATGATTTTTTTTTTATCTATATAAAAAGAGACCTAACAAATTGTACTAATCAGTCATACATTTTGTTCTTTGTGGGGTGCGTGATGAATCAACTTGTCTGATTCTTCTTGGATGACAATGATGATATATTATATAATGAAACATATTGCTTGATTCCTGCTGGTGATGATAGTGATGCTTTCTTTCATTATTTGTGGGTATTAATGTGGAGCTAGGCATGATGAGTGAAATTGTGGAGGCTATTTATTGTAATCGTTTATCTTGATCTATTACTTATTTAGGTGTTCTATTGGGTGGGACCCTTGAGCTAATTCTTTCCGGGATGAGGTTGTATAGAGTCTCTAGGCAGCTTGATCATTGAAAATGTGGTATATTTTCTTTGCATAGTAGAGCTACTCCTATTGAGGTTTCTCTTTCTTAAATTCCTTTTTATTTCATGTCCTTGTTTTGAATATCTAAGTGGGTGATTGAGAGAATTGAGAAAGCCATGAGAGATTTTTTGGTGGTCGGGCACAAGGATGGTGTTGAAATATCATTTCATTAGATGGGATATTTGTTGTCCTCCTAACAGGAGTGTGGTTTGGGCATTGGGAACTTGGTTTGGAGAAATTTGTATTTACTGGCTCAAAGGGTTTGATGTTTTCCTCAAAAACCTTTTCTTCATGACACAAATTTATTAGAAGTATCCATGGTATGCATAAAAATAGATGAGATTCAATTGGCAGGAATTCCGCTACTCTTAAAAGGCCCTTGAAAGCTATATCTCAAGTGTATGACCTCTTTATCCCTTTTACTCGATTGAGTTTGGGGATGGCTCCCCAATCTTATTCTGAGAAGATTTATGATTATGTGATTGCCTCTTGCGTTTGTCTTTCCATTCTCTATAATCTCTCCTTATGCCACACTGTTTTGATTGATAATTTTTTTCCTTAACTATTCTGATATAAATCACTCATGAAATATGCAATTCTTTCGCAATCTCAACCAGGAGCCTATCAAGATGTTATCTTTGATTCATTTGCTTGAACCTTGCAATCTTTCTTCCTAGACTAATTATGCAGTTTGGATTCTTGATCCTTTGGGTATTTACACAAGTAAACATTCTTCATTCATCTCACCATACTTACCAGCTTGATTTCCCTATTGGCCATTTTTAGCAAAGATTAAAATTCCCTCTAACGTTAGTTTTTTACTTGGACAACTCTTATTAACAAACTCACTACTAATGATGTGTTGAAATTTCGCGGGCCTAACCATGTTCCCTCTTAGGATGTTTATGATGTGTTTTAAATTGTTGGGCTGGACACCTTTTCCTACATTTAGAGGTAGCTTGGAAACTTTCAACTATGCTCTTCAATGCCCTTTGAGTTCTCTTGGGTTTACTTAAAAGGTGACAATGTGAGAAAAGAGCTGAGGATTCTTTGGAGAGGTGCCAATTTTTTACCTGGTTGTGGGTGCTATTGTTGGAGTGTAATCCTAAAATTTTTTAAGGACCATTTTCCGTTTCCTCAATTCTGTAGGAGAGGTTGACTCTTTTGGGTTTGCTTTGGGCTAAGGTTCATAATTCCATTAAATATGTCTCATAATCTATTTTCAAAAGCATTCAGGGGCTATCTTATTTTGATTTTTTTCTGTTTCCTTTGCCTCCGATTTTATGGAGATTTTTGTTAGGATGCCTTATCATCCTCTTTATACCTCTTTCCTCTGCTATCTCATAAGACATATGTAAATTTTGATTATTTAACTTATATTAATTGTAATTTTATGGTTTTACTTTTTCTGTGTACTTATTTTAGATATTAATTTTATTACTAATAAATATTTTTGGTATTGATAACTTAAGTTTTTGTCAAGATGTATAAATAAAAAAAAAAAGAAAAAAAGTTCCTATTGTAATTTTTATATAGATAAAAATATCATGTATTTGCATTGAGTTCCATCATTTTTCACCCTAAATATTATTTCCTTTGTATGTAATTGGAGGATGATGCTTACGTCTGAAAGTTTTGAGAAATAACCTTAAATGTTCCCTAACAATGTTTATTTATTTTTAGGTTTGCCTAAATTTACCAAAGGTGGATATCAGATTTTTGCATCAAGAACGTAATCTTTTTGTTGAGAATAACATCACCGGCATTCAACTGAAGATCATTAAATCACAATCCACTGAAGACATAGGTGAAAGTACACGGCTTGATGTTCAAATGGATTTCAGTGAAATACATGTATGGTTGTGACTATTTATATTTTTAAAGTTAATTTGGAATCATAAGTACTCATTTTTACTTGGCCTTTTCTTGATGAAAATGATCTTCCCTTTTATTTCAGCTACTTAGAGAAGCTGGCACTTCCGTCTTGGAGATAATGAAAGTTGATGTTGTTTCTTTTCTTTACATTCCTCTACAGGTTAGTCCTCTGGAAGTAAATAATGGCATCTTTATGTGTTGTCGGGTTGATACCTGTTTGATTCTTTTTATGCTTTACGACAGGTAAAAATTTGAGCAATTATGGTTCTGCATTTGCTTTTTCGTTTTTCTGTAATATTTTTGCATATCTTCAATTTGGTGTCTTTGTGAATTTATGATGTTTTATTTATTATTCTCGATACTTTACTAGATTTGGATCACTAGTAGTTTAAAAGCAAAAGCTAGATATCATTTTAATACTTGGATTGGACCTCGGTGGCAGCTTGTTAATATAAATATAGTCCTTTTCTCCCTAAAATAAATATTTGTGGCAAGTTGGTATGTCTTAACCTGGTAAAGGGGATGCTGAATGGATGTCACCTTTTACGTGTATCAGGGTCTCTTCAAATGCAGTTTAGAACAAATTGAACTACAGTTGACATACTGACTGTAGTGCTTATGCTGTATGTTTAATCTCATGCTTAGAGAAGCAGAAAAAATATACCCTCTAATGTCTCAGGTAAGTAAAACCCATGAGACACCAAAAGTAAGTAAAAAAACTCATACAATAGTGTAGCCCAGTCCTTCCATAAGATGGACAGAGATATTTTTGAAATAAATAAGACAGGCAAAGATACATCCGCAAAAGATCCATGTGTCTTAGAAATCCAAGCATTATGTTCCAACCACAAACTTCAGTCCGGTGAGGAGAGCCCCTCTCCTTCATAGCTTATGCTTCTTATTCCTTCTACTCCTATTGAGGTGGATGGAAATGATTTAAGAATGTGGGCAGATCCATGACTTCCCAAAAAGAGTAAAGAGCCTATTCCATAACTGCCACGGCACATCACAATGGAGAAGCAGATGACTGCTAAACTCAAAACTCCAGTGGCTACACACATCAGGAGTAACATATCATTTACATTAGTCCAGTTAACTAATTGTTCCAATGGTGATTGCTACGTTCACCTTCTTGAGTATGTTATATTTGTGTTTGTGTTTCTGCAGCTTTTGTTAGTTGATCTGTTTGATGTTCCTATTTTTCAGCCAACCTCTCCTGTTAGAGCTGAAGTTGATGTTAAGCTAGGAGGTACTCAGTGCAACATTATTATGAGTAGATTCAAGCCTTGGTTGCATCTACACTTCTCAGAAAAGAAAAGAATGGTTCTTCGTGAGGAAACTTCTATTCATCAGAAGCCACAATCAACTGAACCCAAATCCATTATGTGGACAAGTACTGTCTCAGCACCCGAGATGACTATTGTGCTTTATAGCATCAGCGGTGTCCCACTATATCATGTGAGTGATTTTGCATAATAGTTTGTCATCATATTCATCTCGTTATGTGGGGTTTCTGAAAAGTGATTAAGCACTTCATCATTTTCTTGTAGATGGTTGAGCCCCTTGAATATATGCATCTGGTTAATTGTTCTCAACTAGAAATTTTGTTGCCATGATGTCCTACCAAATGAAACTAACTATTCACTGGATTCAGAAAATTTTGGATGGTTTGGTTGTGTAAAATATACTTCTCCTGTTCCTTTTTTTGAAAGTTATTTAAAATATATTTTCTTAAAAAGAATAGAAATGTGTTATTAAAAATATTTCTGGAATGCAAAAAATGAGGCAGACCAGAGGTTTTTTTGTCTTATTTAAGTGAGAAAAAAAAGGAAACTGCTTTCTTTTTGTTTTCATGGAAAGCATAGGAAAGAACATTTTTCTGTTTTCTATTTTGACCTATTGAAAAAGTTCTTATTCTTAAATTTAGTTTTCTTTTTTTTTTTTTTTTCTAAAACAGAGCATGATTTCATTTTTTGTTCCCTTTGAAGATTTCTTGGAAAATACTTGCAAATTTTATACCTAAATGTATTCTTGTTTTCCTGATCCTCATGTCAATGTAAGATTAGCTGATATCTACAGAAGATTTAAATTAATGATTGGTCATATTTATTAATGACCTGTTTGGTTAACATCAACTTGCTTCTGTAGGTGCCATAATGCTGCTTCCTGTGTGGTTATAACATACCTCCATTCTTATTTCTCTCTCACAGTCTTTTATGCATCATTCATTTTCCTTACCGTTTTATGTTGATTTCCCTATGTAGGGTTGCTCACAATCATCACATTTGTTTGCTAATAACATTTCAAGTTCTGGAACTACGGTACACATGGAACTGGGAGAATTAAATTTACACATGGAAGATGAATATCAGCAATGCTTGAAAGAAAGCCTCTTTGGAATAGAATCAAATTCGGGTTCTCTAATGCATATAGCAAAGGTTAGTTTAGACTGGGGAAAGAAAGATGTGGAATCATCAGAAGAAGATGGTCCCAGGAGTAAATTGGTTTTATCTGTTGATGTGACTGGAATGGGCATTTATTTTACTTTCCAGCGTGTTGAGTCACTTATAATAACTGCTATGTCCTTTCAAGCTCTTTTTAAAAGTTTATCAGCTTCTGGTAAAAAAACGGCACAGATCCGAGGACTTCGCTCATCCAAAACATCAGGGAAAGGGACTCGGCTCTTAAAATTCAGTCTTGAACGCTGTTCTGTTAATTTTTGTGGAGATACAGCCGTGGACAATACAACTATTGCAGATCCCAAGCGTGTTAACTATGGCTCACAGGGTGGTCGAGTTGTAATTAGTGTCTCAGCTGATGGTACACCGCGCTATGCAAACATTATGTCTACAATTTCTGATGAACTCAAGAAGTTGAAATATTCCATTTCTCTTGAAATATTTCATTTTAGTTTTTGTGGGAACAAGGAGAAACAGTCCACACAAATGGAACTTGAAAGAGCCAGATCTATCTATCAGGAATATTTGGAGGAGCATAGGCCTTGTACAAAGGTAACATTGTTTGACATGCAGAATGCTAAGTTTGTACGGCGCACTGGTGGTCTTAAGGAAATCGCTGTCTGCTCTCTTTTCAGTGCTACTGATATTACAGTCAGGTGGGAGCCTGATGTACATATATCATTATTTGAACTTATTTTACAATTGAAGTTAATAGTACAGAATCAAAAGCTTCAAGAAGTCTGTAATGAGGATATGCACAATGTCTATAGTGTAAGAGAAGCAGAACAGATGAAAGGAGGCTCTTCTGAGTCCAGCTCGGTTGATAAGTCCAAGAAAAAGGAATCTATTTTTGCTGTTGATGTAGAAATGTTGAGTATATCTGCCGAGGTAGGAGATGGGGTTGATGCTATGGTGCAAGTTCAGTCAATTTTCTCTGAGAATGCTCGTATTGGAGTACTTCTTGAAGGACTTATTCTCAGTTTCAATGGATCTAGGGTATTCAAAAGTAGCAGGATGCAAATTTCACGGATTCCTAGTGCATCTTCAAGTTCATCTGATGCAAAAGTAACGGCTGGTGGAACTTGGGATTGGGTCATTCAAGGCCTTGATATTCATATTTGCATGCCATACAGGCTACAGTTGCGTGCCATTGATGATTCTGTTGAAGAGATGTTGCGAGGTTTAAAGCTTATAATTGCTGCCAAAAGTAAACTAATTTATCCCATCAAGAAAGAAAGTTCAAAGCCTAAAAAGCCTAGTTCAATGAAATTTGGTTGCATAAGGTTTTGTATACGGAAATTGACATTTGATATTGAGGAAGAACCAATTCAGGGTTGGCTTGATGAACGCTATCAGCTGATGAAGAAAGAGGCTCGTGAGTTAGCTGTCAGGTTGAATTTTCTTAATGAATTTATCTCCAAATCCGTACAGTGTCCTAAAAATGCTGAAACAAATGGTTCAACTGATGAAAAACATTTATTATTAAATGGAGATGAGGTTAATGTACAAGATCCTTCAGCAGTCCTCAAAATGGAAGAAAAGATCTATATACAGTCGTTCCAGTCATATTACAATGCATGCCAAAAATTAGTACCTTCAGAAGGTTCAGGTGCTTGTAAGGAGGGATTTCAGGCTGGTTTTAAGCCAAGCACTGCTAGAACTTCTCTTCTTTCGGTTTCTGCTACAGATTTTGACATAAGCCTGACAGCAATTGATGGTGGAGATGATGGGATGATAGAACTTCTAAGAAAGCTTGATCCTATCTGTCAAGAAAATAATATACCCTTTTCTCGACTATATGGAAGCAATATTCTTTTGAATACCAGCACTCTGGCTGTTCAGTTAAGGGACTATACGTTTCCTCTTTTCTCTGCGGCTGGTGGTAAATGTGAAGGTCGTGTTGTGCTGGCACAGCAGGTAACCTATTTCCTCTGTGCTTCTTACCCTGTATGTTATATGGATTTGAAACCTCATCCTGTTTAAAAATTTGTAACTGACATGTGAGTTTGTCTTGTCGGAACTTTGAACTTCTAAGTGCAACTGCTTCTACGGTGCACTGCCCTTATATAGGGCTTCGGGATAGAGTAGAACTTTGTACACTACTTTTATCTTATTGCAGTTTGGAGGGATCAACCTCTGCTGTTTAATGATTTACTAAGTGGCAGTTTCTAAGGTAGGCAGAAGATTCTTATCCAGTAATGACAGTGTTGATGCTGTCCAGAAGCACAGGACATCATAAAATGATGGTTTAATCTGTTATGATAATTTGATTTGTTACACAAATTTAATGAGGCATCTAAAATTTAGTAATAGAAATGGGAAATCTGTTTTTTCTTTTTGGAGCGATAGTGTAGCTAAAGATTGATTATACAGTTTGTTGATGGATCTCCATAATAAACATGCTTGAAATTACATCAGCCTCCTTGTTTGATTATTTGGAATTACATAATGACTTTTTATCTGATTCGTTTTTTCTTCATGCCTACAACTATTATCTTATGGAACAGGCCACATGTTTTCAGCCCCAAATTTTTCAAGATGTCTTTGTGGGTAGATGGAGAAAGGTGCGCATGCTTCGTTCAGCTACCGGCACAACTCCCCCAATGAAAACATATTCAGATTTGCCTATATATTTTCAAAAGGCAGAGGTATCTTTTGGAGTGGGCTATGAACCAGTTTTTGCTGATATTAGCTACGCGTTCACTGTGGCCCTCCGTAGAGCTAATCTAAGTCGTAGGAGTCCTGATGTTCCACAGCCTTCTAAGAAGGAGAAGAGCTTACCATGGTGGGATGATATGAGAAATTACATTCATGGAAATATCACCCTGTCTTTTTCTGAATCTAAATGGAACATTCTTGCAACCACTGATCCATACGAGCAGCATGATAAACTTCAAGTTACATCTGGTCCCATGGATATTCAGCAATCTGATGGTCGTATTTATCTTTCTGTCAAGGAATTCAAGATTTTCTTGAGCAGTTTGGAGAGTCTAGTAAGTAGCCACTGCTTAAAAGTTCCAGCTGGAACATCTGGTGCTGCTTTCCTTGAAGCCCCTGTCTTTACCCTTGAGGTTATGATGGACTGGGACTGTGAATCTGGACAGCCGATGAATCATTATTTATTTGCACTTCCTAATGAAGGAAGGCTTCGTGAGAAGGTCTTTGATCCTTTCAGATCGACTTCCCTATCACTCCGCTGGAACTTCTCTCTTAGACCAGAGAAACAATCACCATCTACCTCCATGGCAGGGAGCAGCAATACTGGTGGAACAGTATATGATCGTCAGCGTAAGCCTGATAATATCTCAATTGCGTCACCGACCTTCAATGTTGGGAGCTCATGATTTGGGCATGGTTGATTAGGTTCTGGAATATGAATTATCTTCCTCC